ATTATATGCCCCAGAAAGCTCTACTGTCTCTTTCTGGTGTTAAGTATTAGTTACCTTTTTGTTTCCATTTTCTCCAAAACTTTGTCGTTACCTCTCCAGAAAGCAACTCACTCCACCTGTCATCTTTACAAGAGTCGAAATCAGACCAAAAATGGAGTACTGCTTCTATATCTGGTTCACAATCCTCTCTTTCCAAACTTGACAGAGTTCAAAAGCAATCACGCATCAATGGGGATGATGAATTATTTTCCATTCTGCAACCTCTTACCCCACAGACCCAACTTCGTGATCGTCTCGCTAAACTATTGCCATTATCATGCAAATATAGAACTACATTTCTTAGTTCCACTAGTTGTAACCCTCACAGCAAAGACTTGTTATACCATACACACAGTGGGGAACTATCCTCAGGCACTTGCAATTGTAAGAAGGAAAGTCCATTCGAACAAATTATTTCAGAGTCGCTACTTTATGGAACAGCCTCCCAAGATGATGCTTCCTCGTATACTACAATCTTAACCTCTTTATTTCAAGGATCAGTCGATTTTTATTGTACGTATACTCCACTTCCTATATCAATACACTAATCTCATTTAGCAACTTTCTACCATGAGAGGCTCTCGGTCCTTGAAGAGGTTAAAGAAATACTCGATTTCTGGTCTAATCTGACTCTTGCAACGATCCGTCTTGGGTATGACGATAAACTACATCCACGTCCTGGGTAAGACGATAAACGACGTGCAACTGCAAGGCTTCTGATCAGGAGGTTCTAAGGAGCGTGGAACCACCTCTTAATTGCTGGTGTTCCCAGGTCCACTCTGACCTGTTAGGGTCCCAGCTATGGGCAAATAGTTAACCCGAAAACTGGGGTCAAAACACTATGAAAGTGTAAAAATAGGTTTTAATACCAGAAATACTTTATAAAAAAAATATTACCAGCAATACATTTTTTTTAAAAAAAATATTACAAAGGAAGGAAATTTATTTCCAGAAATAGATTTTTGAAGGAAAAAAATATTACCAGAAATAGATTTTTGAAGGAAAAAATATTACCAGAAATAGAATTTTGAAGGAAAATTATTTCCAGAAATAGATTTTTGAAGGAAAAAAATATTACCAGAAATAGATTTTTGAAGGAAAAAATATTACCAGAAATAGATTTTTGAAGGAAAAAAATATTACCAGAAATAGAATTTTGAAGGGAAATTATTTCCAGAAATAGATTTTTGAAGGAAAAAATATTACCAGAAATAGATTTTTGGCAAAATAATATTACCAACAATGAAAATTTTGTCGGAATTAAATAACCTATTGACGTTGATATGCCGTAAAACAAATCAAACCAAGCCAAACTTGCAACGATAAATTATGGTAAAATAAAAGGTGAAAAAATAAAGGCCATCCTCTTCGGTATTGAAAGACTTGAATTATTCTCATGAGACTTCCGTCTCTTTGTTATCTAGAAACCAATTGACAGCGACGTACTTTTACCGTGGAGAATATTTGAACGATCGCACTGAAATCGTTCACAATAAGATGAAAGATATGAGATTATTTCTCGTGATGTCCAGGGCCGTTGTCACCACGACACCTTTCATTACAGATTAACCCAAGGTAATCTTCTTTGCGATCGAGGAAAAAAATTGTTCACCTGTTTGTTTTTCTTCTTCTTCATTAATTAAGAAAATCTTTCGTTAGTTCCGTAATTATATTGGAAAAATATTGATTTCTGCCAGCAAATATCTCTCGGAATGTCAGAGTTGAATTATTAATATTTGAAATTAATCTACATTGTAGTTAAGCATATCGAACTACCTTGCAGTCATGAATTCGATTCCTAAATTATTTTAGTTCTAATAGAATTTACCTCATGCAAGGCAGTAAAGCCACTAAGACACATTGGATTACTGGATGTGAAAGAATTAGAAAACAGAAGCATTATTGAGTAGCGATAAAAGTAGAAAAGTAATCTGGAAGACAATAGATAACGATTTAAGTAAAATAAAACTATATTCATTTCTTCTACGGTAATATTGGAGATCATGGCTCTCCCTAATTTCCTATTTTTGATAGGTCTTAATACATTTTATCTTTTTGTTATTTCTCCTAAAACTCGTTCCGCCATCCATTTACTTAAATTCTCTTGGTAGTTTATGCATTGTTTTCCTCTGTCCATCTTGCCTTCAATCTCTCCAGTGAGTATCAAATTTTAAAAATCCCACTTTCCTCATTATGTGCTCTAGAAATTTCAACTGTATCTTCCTGACGTTAAATATAGGTCTCTTTTTCGTTTCTGGTTTTTCTAAAACTTCGTCTTTGCTCACATATTCGGTCCACGGTATTCTTGGCATCTTTCTGTAGAATCACATTTCTGTTGCTTCAAGTCTCTTCTTGTTATACCGGAACGTACCTATTCTATTGTAAATAGACTCTTCCAGAGATAAGTAGTAGTAGTAGCAGTCGCCAGTGGATCTCAGTGAGTTATGTGAGTCAGTCGATGTCGGACATTAAAGTATGAGACCCACAATTAGATTGCTGCGTCATTAACTATTATTTCAAGTTCCTAATGTTTTGTACGTCGAACCTAATTTAGGACCGACTTAGTGAAATACAAGCCTCCACTGTGAAAACTACTCTACAACACTTCTTCATTTGTGAAACGATTTCCAGCATTCAAGAGGACGGACATAACGTAGCAGTTCAATACTCTTCAGTTGCTTCTAGCCAAATTTTCCTGTTTCTTTGCTTAGCTTTTGGAAGGCATCTTTTCCTATCCCAATGAGCCTTCGGATTTCCGTGTCTCACTTTCAGTCCTCTGTGGAAACACTTCCTAGATGTTTAAATTTTTATACTTCCTTGATTTTACTATTTCCAATTTGAAATTTGCATGTTTGGTTGTTTCCTGTACTAACAACCATTCTGTCTTCTTGCAATTGATGTTTAGTGCTTTCTTCTCGCTTTCCTTCACTAGATTTTCTTACAGTTTCCATTCCGTGTCTGCTATCAACACTGTCAACTGTATATTTTATGTTGCTAAGATTGTGGCCGCCAATAATGAATCCTGGTAGGACTTCTAATTCCCTCAGAATCACCTCAGTGTATAGGCTGAATTAGTCCGGTGAGAAGACACATCCTTGTCTTACTCCCGTTTTTATGTTTGTTTACATACTGAGTATGCAGACGAATGCGGAAAACTGTCCTAGTGGAGCTTCCTTCTTACATTTGTTACACGGGGAAATAAGGGTGATACAAATGTGCGGAAGTAGCGTGACGTTCTGGAAGAGCCGAATGCAGAGAACTGGTACACGCCGTGCCATAACGTCCCCATACAATACTTCTCTGGTTTTGAATGCAGAGTTGGCTTTCTCTTAAGCCGGTTGCCACCCAAGACTGTAGCATCTAGTCTGTCCTGCTATTTACCCTTAGATGGGAGAGGGGAGAAGGGAGGAATTCATACCTTTTCCAATGATATTAACACGTAACTGAATGTAATGAACTCGACTTGAACTCAAATTTGGTTCTCCGATACGTACCGCTATACATTCATATATATATATATATATATATATATTCATGCATACATACATATATATATATGAAAAAATTCTCAGAGTTAACCTGTTTCAGTTGACAATATGAATACAATAGCGTTTTCTAAATTCTTCTAGTTGTTAAAGACATTTTATTTGTTGTTAATAGTTACTTTGTTTTCAATAAATTCATTTCGTTTTTGCCTTGAAAAAGTCCAGATAGTACGAAACGCGTCGAATAATAATAGTTTTCCTATTGTCTTTTTACCTTTTTTATATATATATATATATATATATATATATATATATATATATATATATATTAAGTCAGATCGGAACTGGTGCTATGAAAAGAAGACTACAAGACATATCACTTCAGTATTTAATCTCCTTTGAAGTAATCACCTTCGGAAACCACACACTTTATCCATTGTCATTTCCGTTGATGAAATCATTCCTGGAACTCATTTTTTTAAAATGTTTAGCTGCTGCCTCATCGCATTTTCTTGGATTTCCTCGACATCTTGAAACCTTTTTGCTTTCAAGTGATATTTGATCTGGGAAATATAGTGGTTGTCGGAGCTGTGGAATTCTGTGCTTGGCCAAAAACTACTGCTCAAGCCATCGTCACTGATGGAACCTTTGTGGTGTGGTGAGACGACCACACTCTACACACTATCATTCCAAGCATGCAATAAACAATCGAAGTGAGCGAGATCGTTATAACTTAGTTTGTTTGAGTAACAGAGTCGGAGATCAATCTGTACCAAGCAGTTTCCCTCTGCGTTGTCTTCCTGATCAGACCTCGTATATATATATATATATATATATATATATATATATATATATATATAAAGAGAGAGAGAGAGAGAGAGAAAGACAGACAGACAATCAGACAGAGACAGAGAGAGAAAGAGGCACGGTGGAATAATGGATAGCTGCTCGGATTAAGGAAGCGGAAAGCCGAGTTCGAATTCCAGTCGAATCCATTACATTCACGTACATTCACTTCCCTGAAGCTATGGGTAAGTAGCAGAACAGACTGGGTTCTATAGCCTTGGATGGCAACTGGTCTAGGAGAAGGACAACTCTGAATTTCGGAGGGTTGTTTGGGGACCTTGTGGCACGTAGTGCACCAGGTCTCTGTATTCGGCCCTTCAAAAAGTGTGGTTGATTCTGCACAAAACCTTCACCACTATAATCAAAATCATATGTGCTGGTGTCTGGGCTGTTGGTTCCTAAGAACTGAGCTGCTTAACCCTCATACGTCGAATACCACGGGAGAGTCCGCCATATATATATTAGGGAGAAATCGATGACAAAGCGGAAAATCTTTTTATGTGACGCGTTTCGTCCTTTAGGCCTTCAACGGGCTAAAGTCATGTTTACGTTGAGCCGACTACAACATGCGCGCGAAGTTTCCGCCTCTATATTTGTTCTGGTTATATAAAAATGTATGTATTGTTTTACGACCCACAAACACAGATAGATAGATAGATAGATAGATAGATAGATAGATAGATAGATAGATAGATAGATAATTTAAACTATTTGTTTTATACGTTTTAATGAACAATAATTCATCCTGAGAGGATTCAATCTAAGATCTGATATTGGTATTAAATAAATCTTGCTGTATTTATAACATTATCTCTTGTCGGGTCCTTGTAAAGGTTATGAAAATGTTACATTGTAAAAATACATCCGTCTCTATTATTAATTATTGCCAACAGATGGAACACGAATAACAAATGAAAGCCCGAAAGAATATATCAAGAAGTGACATTTTTAGGCGTGGAGAGTAAATAATTGTCGACTTGTTGTTACCAGTATCACCTCTTCACCATTGCTTACCGAGCTGTGAACGATGTATGCCGATGTCTACCCACGCTAATACATTCGTTGTCTTTCCGCCAGATCTAATGGAATCCCCCGAACACGATGAATCACTCAAGGCAACAGCTGATCGATTATGATCTATGGCAGTCGCTGCTTCAGCCGAGATCGAAAGGCAAAACGTGCCAAGAAGATGCAGATTAAACTGACTTAGACGCGTTCGAAAAGAAAAAGGATGAATGGTTAAAATGAAAACCATCAACGTTTTATTATTGTCGCTTTTTGCTTCCATAATATACATCCATAGATAAAATCACCAGACATACATACATACATACGCACAAACAAAGACATGCGCCTTATAATATATATATATATATGTGTGTGTGTGTGTGTGTGTGTGTGTGTGTGTGTAAAAATATATAGAAAATAGGAAATGCATATATATATATATATTTAGCTGGCCACTCGTATTGGAGGATACCCGTCTATTAGGGCGGCTAGCAAATCCCTAATTCAGACGCTTGCTCAGGAACATTTGTGTTTGTTCAACACACACAGGGCCCACCTGTGGTTTATACAGCAACTATGCTAAGCAGACCTTAGTTACAGTCCCTGGGAGAGAGCGTGTTATCTAGCGTGATCAACAATCTGAACCAAGCCAGCACACTCAAACCCTCGGTCACGATGACTTGTGAGTTTGTGCTAGCACAGCTATCGACGTTCCCACAAGTGTTCCGTTTACCCAATTTCACTCACAAGGCTTGGGTCAACCTATGGTATAGTTTTCAGGCACTTTCCAAAGGTGCCACACGCTGGGATCGTCCCACTCCAGACCGATTCATACACACATACATACACACACACAGACACACGCCATATATATATATATATATATATATATATATATATATATATATATATATATCCTTTTTCATTCATTATAATAATTTTTTCATATAGTCTTAGGTCTGTCTATTTTCATATATATATATATTTTTAAATAAATACCATTAATCCCCGTTTATTTTAAATATAAAATAAAATATTAATCCCGGTTTATTTTAAATATAAAATTAAAAAATACCATCTGTTTCAAATGCAATATATAATTTTAAAATAAAAATCGGTAATCCTCGTATAATGTATGGACTGCACCAGTTTTGCGTTAACCAGATATCTTTATTAAAATTTACATTATATAACGGTCAGTCTCTACACAGCACCTGAAGATTGCGTTGTGCTTGAAACTCTGGGTAGTGCTTCCGGTGACAGGTAATATGTATATTTATTAATATATATATATATATATGTATATTTATTAATATATATATTAATATGTATATTTATTAATATATATACTTAATAGTTCTGTTATATTACATCGAGCACTATTTTATTAACAGCAGCACGCTGCGATATATATATATATATATATATATATATATATATATATATTATAATTATATTTTAAAAGATATGATTCCTTCGCTACATAAACGTTCTCATGTTTCAAAAACGAAACCCGGAACCCGCCAAATATATATATATATATATATATATATATACATGCATACATATATATATATATATATATATAAAGACATTTTTATTTATGTTTAACGTTGTTATTTTATAGATACAAGTATTTAAGCAAATGCTCTGTTTATGATAAACAGTATTAAATAACATTTACCGGCCTGAATGTCGAATTTTTCATAGAAAATATTCGTTCATATGAATATGATTCGAACCTGCATCTATACGGAACCGTTATTATAACGCTGTTTATATAAACAGAGGATGCAGGTTAAATACTTGTATCTATAAAATAACAACGTTAAACATAAATAAAAATGTCTTTAATAAATAAATTGTCGGACCTCGTCCATTTCTTAACATATGACGTCATTTGTTTACATTCGATACGCCAGAGCAGTTATGAATGTACGAGATTCATGGAAGATTGTAGTTTATAACAGTAAATTCGACCTTGTCTACCATAAGGTTCATGGTGGCCGAGTGGTTAAGGCACGTCAGCGTATATGACGGTTCCGTATAGGATGCAGGTTCGAATCCTGTCTATGAACGAATATTTTCTATGAAAATTTCTCGGACATTCAGGCCGGTTAATGTTATTTAATACTGTTTATCATAAACAGAGCATTTGCTTAAATACTTGTATCTATAAAATAACAACGTTAAACATAAATAAAAATGTCTTTAATAAATAAATTGTCGGACCTCGTCCATTTCTTAACATATATATATATATATATATATATATTGCTTAAACGTTATTTTTGCCGGATAGCCATATTTGAGTAGACGGTCGGTTTTAATTCATTTATCCATTCGTTTAACCCGGCAGCTGTTCGTGGACGAGAGGTCAAGGCACGTCAGATCTGATGAGAGTATCTCTTAGGGGATACTGGTTCAAGTTTCTGGAATATTCAGGGCGGTAGATGGAAATAAATAAATATACCGTTTAATAATTAAATTAAAACAGAATATCTACTTAATTATGGCTATCCATTAAAAATAGCATTTAACCAATAAATCAAAATGTGTCCGATTAATAAATGAAAAATCCATTCATATATATATATATATAGTGAGGGGGAGATAGTTATTTGTACACATACAATTTTTTAATTTATTGTATTTCCAACTAAAGAATAAACATAATTTTCATATAATTAACTCTACACAAATGCATAATAACTAAACATGCACAGAAAACAGAAAAAATTATTCACTCGAAATAAATCCCATTTATCCATTTTAATGGATGAAAAAGTATTTGTACAATGCAAATTTCAGATTTTAAAACTTTTAAATTGTTTTAATACTCTAGAATATTCAAATGGAATATTCTAGAATGTTTCAAAGTTTAGCCTAAAAAATACAAACAGAACATTCTGTAATTGATATTCGTGCAAGAATGTTTCCATCATGTTAAGAGGTAAAGAATTGACAAATTCGCAAAAAGAACGGAAAAGAAGATAAAATTCACAGGAAAATCTCAGAGAACCTGAATATTTCATTTACTACCATTAGTTCATTCATTGCAAGGTATAAAAAAGTCAAAACTGCTGAAAACGAAAGAACAGGAGCTCAACGAAAGGTTTCTGCAAGATCTTAAAGGAAGTTAATGCGTCAAATTAAACAAAATCCAATGGTTACTCGTCAAGAGTTACAGGCTGATTTGCTTTCATCAGGAATCTGTGTCACTAAAGGATAAGAAAAAATCGCATTGGGAAACAGTATGATGGACAGACCAAATTAAAATTGAGTTGTTTGGACGTAATTCTAGAAATTATGTATAGAAGAAAGATGGCGATGCCTTCAAACAAAAGAACACAGTTCCAACAGTGAAATTTGGTGGTGGCAGTATCATTGTTTTGGGAGTGTTTTTCTGCAAAAGGTACTGGCAACATATCAGTAATGGATGGTAGAATAAATGCCGCAGCATATCAAAATATTCTGGAAGCAAATTTTAAGGATTTCGGTTGATAATCTTGAACATCCTCCTGAATGAATCTTCCAACAAGATAATGACCCTAAGCACACTGCAAAATCTACGAAGCAATGGCTTGCTGAAAATAATGTAAATATCCTGAAATGGCCAAGTCAGTCCCCAGATTTAAACCCAATCGAGAATCTGTGGTGTTATTTGAAAATTCAAATCTAATCGAGAGCTCCTACAAACATTCAATACATTCCTATAACTCTAAATATATGCATAAAACGTCCATACATTCACTTATAAAAAGTAATACAAATAAAAACCATTCTAGATAAAGATTAAGAGAACAGCCGAAAGCCCTCGGGCATACAGAACATTTGAACAGTTTTTTATATACTTTATGACCTAAAAAGAAGAAAAATTATACGAACACAAGAAAAAACAGAATAATCAGCAATATTACTGGACCTGATCTGGCGGTTCTGCTTCAGTCAATTACTCACAGCCGTAAGGTTGTGTCTCTGTGACTTTTTTTTATAAATACGTTCATGGCGATTGTTCGTATGAGCTCTTCGCTATGGTACCTAAACTTTATGAATTTGAGCGCAGCACTAGACTGACGTCAAGATTTCATCAATTTATAGCTGAGCTGGCTAGACGTAGCCGGAAATTCTATGCTAACAGTTACTTTTCTCGCACTTCTCGCTGGTGGAACTCTCTTCCGACACCATGCTTTCCAGCTAACTTTAATCTGCAAAAATTTAAATGCACTGTCAATCGCTATCTACTGTCCTCCTGATTACTCTTTTTTTTTTTTCATTATTAATGTTTCTGTTCCTAATTCTTCCACACCCTGTAACACCTTGCGTTTTAATACTTTACTGCCTTGAATGGGGTGATACCGATTAAAACAAATGCAACTTTAATATATATATATATATATATATATATATATATATATATATATATATATATATATATATATATATATATATATATATATATTATGAAATGGACAAAGTTCGACAATTATTTTAAGACATTTTTTATGTTTATACATCCTTTTTATAGATACAAATATTTAAGTAAATGCTCTGTTTATAATAAACACTAATAAACAACATTTACCGGTCTGAATATTTCTATGAAAATTTCTCGGACATTCAGGCCGGTAAATGTTTTTAATACTGTTTATTATAAACAGAGCATTTACTTAGAATATTTGTATCGATAAAAAGAATGTATAAACATAAAAAACGTCTTAATATATATGTGTGTGTGTGTGTGTGTGTGTGTGTGTGTGTGTGTGTGTGTGTGTGTGTGAAAAATGTGTGTATATAAATATAAATAAATATATATATATATATATATATATATATAATTATTTATATATTATATGCGCGGTACTTATTAGAAAGCGCTCAATATCAGAGATAGAGTTTGTCTGATGATCGCAAAAGCGTGAAACCCAGGGTCACAAACTCACTTCAATCCAAGCAAATATATATATGTGTGTGTGTGTGTGTGTGTGTGTGTGTGTGT